ATATATATATATATATTGGCATTTCCCAAAGAATGTTAGTATCCCAAAATATAAAAGTATTTCCCATAGAAGCCTCAAAAGAAAGCCTTCTCCCCACTAACCATCCCCCCTTGCCCACCTCTCCCTCTCCCTCTGCTCATTATTTTTGAGTCGCTGGGTCTGAATGAGGTGAGGGTGGAGAGACAGGGGCTATAAGAAAGCCCTTCTCCAGTCCCCAGTAGTCAGACTTCACTCCCCGGGGCCCGACTCCAGCCTCCACCCGGATCACACGCCCCTGCCAGGCCTGTGGCCTCCTTTCCTATGCCTGTGGCTCAAGGCCCAGTTTTGGAGACATTTGGCTCCGATGCACATCTAAGTGCTGAGACAAGTTTCTTGGATGCCTTTAAACCCAAAACAAGGTCAGACATCAAACTCCATCTCCTTGTGCAGGCAGGCAGGCCTCCGCTCCCAGCCACCCTGGGAAGGACTTGCAAAGAATAAAAATACTGGTGGTGGAGCTAAGGCTGCCCCCAGCTCAGCTTCCAACCCCTCCCTCACCGGCAGTGGGCTGGAGTCTCTGCTTATTTTCATGTTTGCATGCATATAAAATGCACTGGGGCTATAGCTCCATGAAACAGTGCTTGCCTAGCATGGGTGAGGTTCTGGATGCCATCCCCAGTACCACACATGCACACAAACCTGTGTTTTCTCTAGAGTATAGCATTAGATTGTGTGCAGTATGATGTGGGTACTGCACAGATACAGTCATGCTCCAGCTGTCTGTTTTGTTTATACGAACATGGCGCTGAGATGGAGCCCAGGGGTTAGTTTTGCCCTTGTCACTCTTAGACTCCTGGCGGCCACCTGCACACCTCAGAAATGACCAGCATGTGCTGCCTCTGGGACAGAGGCTGGCCGAGGAGTGCCTTCCTTCCACGCCACGTCACAATAACTTTGGTGTCACCTAAAGAAAGAAACAAGAAGCCACATTTGCCTGATTTTAAATTGCGAGTTGTGTGCTGGCTCAGAGAGGCAAAAAGGCTTTCCGTGTGAGCTGATGTATAAGTGATGCTGCTCCCCAGTCTGGTGGTGGGGGTGGCCCCTCAGAGAGTCCCCCACACTCACCCTGGGAGGCAGCAGAGGCACCTAGGGGTCCGGGCTAGGCTGGAGTTTGCTTCCCTTTCTGCAGCCGCACGAGGGATGCTGCTGCCGAGTTGTAAATACGTTTCATCCGCGCTCATCAAAAGCATCACTAAAAGCGTGGATCCAACAGGCAGCATGGACCCCACAGCACCATCTACCTGATCAGCGGGACCCTTAGACAGAGAGCTGGTGCCATTGTAAATACCGAACCCCCGTAGAGGAGTTCTTGTCTAGGCCTTGATGCCAGCCTCAGTGCTGTGTGAGAGGAAGAGGCCCCGGTAAGCCCGGTGCTAGCCTCTACTTCCCAGGACAGAGCCTGTCTTCACTTAGGGCTGTTTTGCTGAGATGTGAGTCATAGAATATAAAATTGACAGGCACCAGCCAGGCAGGATGGCACATGCGTATAATCCCAGCATTCGGGAGACTGAGGCAGGAGGATTGCTTTGAGCTCAAGGCCAGCCCAGCCTTGACTACACAGTGAGACCCTGTCTGAAAAAAAAAAAAAAAATGTGCTAAGCACAGAAGCCATAAGTTCCCAAGGTTCTCCAAAGACCCAGGGAACCTTGGCAGGTGGCCCATTACAGGGATTTGAACCTTTGTTGTTCTGCAGCAGGTAAAGTGAAGGCCAGGGGGTCTCTCTCCACTTCCTCCCCTCTACACCCCTCCTTCCTTCCCCTCTCTCTGCTTTTAGCTTCCAGGACAGGCAGGACAGACACATCCTAAAGCAAAGATCCACAACAAGAAACCACCACGAACCAGCCTGATGGCCCGGCCCCTGAGGCTGGAGAGCAGATTTTCTGGGATTTGCCTTTTCTTTGGACGGATTTATTTCATGAAGTGTGATCAAAATGTACAGTAAATGTTTAAGTTTTACAAATTCATTAAAGTAAAAGATGCATTGCTGTTAATCCCCTCAAAATACGCCCCCTGCCCCTTGCTTGGAACACACTTGTCCGGCCATTCTTGCCTCATTCTAAAGCGGTTCTGGAGGTCCTCTTTCAAGTCTTTGTGAGGTGTGATCAGAAATACTCTGAGTGCTTCTGCTGAGGGCCACCCAGCAGAAAGGCGGACTCATAAAAAACCCTAATGTGTTCTCATCCACTTTATTCACAGGACTTCTGGATGTGTCCTAAAGCCAAAGTGACCAGAAAAGTAAGTATTTTGAACTAGTTTAGGACTTTGAGACAGCCACACTTAATGACGTAGTAAATACAAAATCAGAACCAGACATGGCTATTATTGTTAATGTTATTATTCTCCTTATTTGTAGAGATGCAGAGCAGTCAACTTGGTTTTGGGCTTTTTGTTTTCTGTCTCTCATTTCACAATATCTTTTGCTTTTTGCTCTGAGGAATAGGGTCTACAAGTCTTAGGCAGCCTTCCTGGAAGCACTGGGATGTAGAGACTTTTGGGACTCCTACCTAGACTTGCCAAGATCTGCCCATGTTGGGAGGAGACATAAACTGGGGCAGGCTGGGGGCCTGAGTCTGGCCACACCCAGGGTAGGCCAGTGACCAGGGCCTCTGGCACCTGGGCCAGCAGAAAGCCTGCAACTCTGCTCTTCTTCCCAAGGAAGAAGCCCAAGGATGACCGAGGTCAGATTCCCTCCATCCCAGTACTGTGGGCCGGAGCTGAACACAAAGGAATTAATAGAAGCTACTGAAATGAATCCTCTTCTCACCCTGTTTTTATGCCCCGTGCATGTGCAAGACTTTCACCGTCATAATCATGGAGAGCATGAGTGTCCCAGGACCTGCGTTTGTCCCATGTCCTGATTCCCTTTGGAGATACTTTGGGTGCAGTCTCATTTCATTCCAGCACAGGGAAGATGAGGGGAGGGATTCCAAGAAGAAAAAAACCATGAAGATACGGTGGTGAGAGGAGAGGCTGGGACCTCAGGGATGAGCTGTCTGTCCCAGTCTGTGTGTCCCTGCACTGCCCGGATGCACACCCTCCAAGAACCCAGTGAGGAAAGTCTCAGGGGGAGGCTGGTGGTGGCTTCTCCTTGCTCGCTTCTCCCCTCTCTCCTGCCCAGCCATGTGGCTGTGATCTGCTGTCCCACATCAGCCCAGAGCATCCCCCAGGGCCTTGGCCAGCACACATCAAGTCGCCTCCTTGAAGGGCTAACATTGCTTAGGGGCCACAGGGTCACACTTTCACGGCCACTGTCGTCCAGTCCACGACCACCCCTGGGGGCCTGACCTGCTCTGATGCCGGCGCTAACTCGGTGACTGTGACTGCAGGTTTCCAGGCTGGCCTTGCCTTTAGTGTCCTGCCGCATATAGGGCCGAGGCCATCAGCCCTGTTCTCCCCGTGACCATGCCCATCCTCAGCTTTCTTTCAGGGCCCACCCTTTTGGAGCCATGTCAATCACTCGACTTGCGGTGGCCAAAGCCATGTTAGCAAGTGGAGAACAGGTAGGGCCTTGAAGGGTGCCGGTGAATGGAACTCACTCCACTCTCTGTCTCAGGCATGGAAACACACCTTGGCACCCCTGCTGTCCTGCGGGACAGAGACAGTGTCCCTGGCTGCTCAGTAGAAGCCAGCATAGACCAGCTAATAGCCAGGCCTGTCACTCAGGCGAGGCCAGGTGAAGTAACCGCTCGCAGACCCCGGAGGTAAGCAATCATTTACTGTCTTAGGCCACCGAGTTCTGGGGTGACTACTGCCTATCGTCATGGCAGCAATACCACTGATAGGGCTCCCATCCATGCCACAAGGAATCTTCCCAGAGCAGGCTCGGTGGCAGCCGGTGCAGAGGTGGGGGATGTGCCTGGTCCCTAAGTAAGGACTGCGAGGCACCACGCAGAGCCAATCTGCGCATATGCGCATGAGGCGGCAGACATCAGAAGGCAAGGGCTGCCTCTGCAGCCTTACTCAGCGCCCACGATAAGCAACGCCCAGAGCAGGCCCTTGGCCCCCCGGAATGATTCAGATCCAGGCCCCGCTGCTAGAACTTGTCCCCACAGGCCAGGACCACTGTGGGAGTCCATGGGCCAAGCAGGTCTCTCCATTCCCTCTTCCTCCACGTTTCCTGCAGCCTCCCTCCTCCCCCAGAGCTGAGTCACTAGGCTTGTGGCCCAGGACAAAGTGAGACTGGAAAAGACCCTCCAGGCCTGTGTCCCAGGGCTTTCAGCCTCTGGAGAATTGTCCTGGCAGAAGAAAGTTGCCTGCTGGCCCAAGGCATAACCTTTTCCCAGGGCAGCGCACATGCAGTGACTAATCTGAAATCTCACTCCCCATGCCCCAGCTTGGGACACGCTGGAGGCTACCCCAGCTCCAGAGCTCTGAGCCCATGGCTGAGACATGTCACAGCCTCTTTCTACTACTGACCCTGCCAGTTCTCTTCTCACCCCTGTGAGAAGTGACCCCCAGGGGACACTGGTCTTGGTCCATTTTTTTTGCTGCTACCATAGAATATCTGAGGCAGGGTAATTCCGGAAGAACAGACTTATCTTAACTCATGGTTCTGGAGACTGAGAAGCCCAACAACACGGCTCTGGCATCTGGCAAGGGCCCCTGGTGCTCCAGCTTCTGGAAGAAAACTGGAAGGGTAAGCTGGCACTCAACAACCCGCTGTCATGGTAACTGACCCAGGCCTGCAAGAGGATCATGGCGCCTACACGATCTAAGACCTTTTTAAAGGTACTGCCACCACCTCTCAACACTGTTCTATGATGAATCAAATTTCAGTGTGACTTTTGGAGGGGACAAAGCATGTCCAAATCATAGCAACAGCCTAATTCACCCTACAGTCCAGCCTCCATCCCAGAGGCAGCTGGCTGTCACCTTCACACACCTGGGGCGAGTACAACCATCCCTCGGCATCTGCAGGGGGCTGGTCTCAGGACCCCAGTGGGTATGAAAACCTGCAGCTGTCTAGTAAAAGGGTGTGCAATTTGCACAGAACCTGTGTGCGTTCTGTACGCTTCTGAGTCATCTCCTGCTGACACAGTGTAAATGCTGCTAGGTAGTTGTTGGGCTGCATTGCTTAGGGAATCATTCAAGGAAAAAAGCCTGTGCATGTTTGGTATGGATTTTTTTTCCTGAATGATTTTCATCTGGACTCAGTTGAGTCCACAGATATGGAACCCGCAGACACGGAGGGCCATTGTATATGGCAATTGTTCTGACACCCTAATGGGACTGGGGTGAGGCCTGCCACATAGAAGGAGGCCAGGAGTGAGGGGTGTGAGAGGAAGGAATCCCAGGGAAATTCTGAGGACCCCACACAAGGGTGTCGGGCCAACCCTAAAGTATCAGCTGGGTCTGGAGAATCTGTTTCCCAGTTTCTCTGCTGGCTTCTGGCAAGGCTCAGGTCCTCACTGATGGTTGCCTTCTGTCAGTTCTTTACATGAGAGTCTCTCCTCAAGGCTGGCTGCTCAGAACACGGCCACTAGCTTTTGCCAGAGCTATAAGAGACAGCGAGAGAAGGTGGGTATGATGGCAGTGCCTGGCCTTTTGTAGCCCATCCATCTTAGAAATGATGTCCTGTCACACTGGCCCTATTCTACCTCTGAGAAGCTAGGCACTGCATACTGGGGGTTACTGGGTGCCATCTGAGAGGCTGTCTGCCACTAGGGCATCACGGGAGAGGGAACATGTCACAGCAGGGGCCAAGGAGCTGGAAAGAGTCCTCTCAGTACTGCACAGCCTGTTCCCCTGGCTGGGGCAGACCGGAAGCAGCTGACCCACATCCTGGTGGATAAAGGTCCCTGCGTCCTGGGGTCCTTTGGTCTTGGGATTTCATCATCCCACTCTCGCCTTTTGCTCCCTCTGTCCTCTTCTCTCTGCCTGTACTTGCTCCTTGATTTTCACATTTTGGTTTTGTATGAATAAAAGTTAGCAACTCTTTACAATAAAGAGCTGGGAATTTAGCTCAGCGGTGCCTCTGCCTGCCTTGCAAGCTCAAGGTCCTGAGTTTGATCCCCAGTACTGAAAAACAAAACAAAATAAAACAAACTCCCTCAAGAGCCAGCTGCACAGAGTGACCCCAGGAGGAAAGGGCCTGTGTGGTTGGAGGGTGCTCACATCTGGAACCCTACACACACTTGAATCCCAGCCAATCCTCTGCCTCTCGAAGTCTTACAGGGCCAAAGCCACCCAGCTGCAACAGGAGCCCAACCCATGCCCCTCTGTGCCACCTTATCCTGCAAGGGAATGAAGACTGATTTTGTTTGTTGGAGAAGATGAGGACTTAAGAATCCAAGGTTGAGGACCGGGGATGTAGATCAGTGGCACCTCACCTGTGTGGCAATAGCAAGATCCTGAGTTCAAACCCTGCTACTGGAAAAAAAAGCCAGGGTCAAGTTGCCAGGTGTGGGAGCATTTTGTTCAGTCTGTGAAGACAAGGAGCTGGGCGGAGATGGACTGGAAAAGGAAGGGACGTATCCTGACTCTCCTGGTGAGAGAGACTGGACCCCATATGGGTGCAGTTCCAGCCCTCTGTCCCTGCACCACAGCAACCCCTGGCCTTGCCTGGGGGTGCCTGCTCCCGCAGGGGCCTCCAGCACAGCTGATCGCTGGTACAGGCTGGCAGCCAGATCCATGGCGAAGCCCACAGGGTAATGGGCAGGATGCTGGGGAACATCCAGCTCCTTGGAGAAGGCCAGAGAACACATTGAAATCCACCCTCAAATTAGGAATATGTTTACTTGTCTAATACAACTTTATTATGTTTACTCAGTTAGACCACAGCCTGTGGGCTCACCCTATGCGCAGAGATGTTATAAAAGGATTGGCCACCGCCGAAGTTTTCCACGAAGACTGACTTGTTACTTGTCAGTTTCCTTTGTCATCCTCAGCGTTTGCCAGCAAGTAAGCCTCTGCTTGTGGTCACCGGAGGTTTAAGGATAGCTTGCAAGGACAGATTTACATTTGAGAATAAAGTTCCAGCAGACACTATTGGATTACTCATCCAATTTCTACCACTCCTTCTGCCACCTCAAGAAATTGGGTTTTTCATTACATTACGGTCACCCATGCTATAGCGTGGGTCTTGTACTTCCAGTCAGGTCTGTGTGTTAGAGGTTTGGTGTGCTGCTGGGAGGTGTGGAGCCTAGGGGGAGCCCTTAGGTCTTTAGGGATTGTGCCCCACGAGGATGGTAAGATCCCTCCCCTCGAGCCACTACTTCTTCCTCTGTTGCTTCCTGGCCCTGAGATGGGCGGTTTTGCTCCTCCCATGGCTCACATTGATGAGGCCATCCCATCACAGACTGGAGCCTCGAAAAGGAGCCTTTTCTTTTCCCGGTGAGTTAGCTCAGGAGTCTTGTTACAGCAACACTGACTAACCTCCGTTCTCTCCGGGTAGTGCCTGGGTGCTGTTGGGCATTGCCTTGAGTAGGTGGGAGCCCAGAAAAGCTGTGTCCGTGTAGCTGTCCTCCGTGGGGTGGGAATGGCACCATTTAGGGGACCAGAGGGACCAGACCCGGAGCCATGGTGAGGTCTGCCCTGCAGCCCCCTCACTTTGGACCTCAGGCTCTTCACCAAGGAACTTCTTCGCTACTTGGAACATCTGGGGCAGGATTTCCTAGGCATCCTGACCTCTTTTCCCCCTCACACTGTGAAAGGCAGCCCATGTGCAACTGTCCACTTTGTCTGATTGGGACGGTGCTGGTTGTCCCCTGCCCTTGCCATGTGAGACTTCACATGGGGCGACACATGCTGCTTCTCTCTGCCCAGAAGCAGCTTCCAAGATCTGAAGCCTCAATTTCCCTGTCTGCAAAATGGGCTGTGTCGAAGGGGAGGTACTGGCAATGTGAGGAGGGCAGTGACAAGGGCACTTGCTGGTTTCTGGTAGAACTGTGTGAGTGGTGTCTGCACAGGGGGCGCTGAAGTGGGCTGCCTTGGTCACTGGGCCGAGGGCCACGTTACAGCGTTCCCACTTTCCCTGAAAGTCAGGGAAGCGCCCAAAAGTGTCCCAGCCGTGCCGTGGGTGGGGGGCACACTGATCGGCCAGGCAGGGTGGGGTTGCCGCCTGTTGATATCAGCAGCCAGGGTCCAGGATGGTCCTCAGGGTCGCTGCCACCCACTTGTGCCCTTGGACTGTGCCACTTGGCCCTCTGGCCCAAGCAGCCACCTGCTCCCAGCTGCGGGAGGCCCAGCCGCCTGACCTTTCCCTCCTAACGTCATTTTCCATTCTGCTGTGTTTTTGGCCAGGGCTGAAAAGCTGCTCCAGGGAGCTGGGAAGGATTGTTCTGAGACGTGTCATTGTTTCAGGATCGGGTCGCCCAAGCCTCTAGAATCTGATAGCAAGCAGAACCTCTCTGAGTCACTGATACTCACAATGGGAGCCTTGGGCGGCTAGGGCGGGGGGTGCAGGCTCCTGGGACCCACCTGGGCCCAGAAGGCTTTAGCAGCACCCACTTGCCTGCAGCTGAGCTTGGATTTGTGGCTCAGGCCAGGTGCCAGTTTGGAACGGGAGACTGGACCTCAGCCTAGGCTTTGCTGTGCCTTAGCCAAGGCAGGGAGGAAAGTGGCAGCCCCTTTGTTGGGGCAGGGAGAGTGCAACCTGTCCCTCCCATGGGCCAGAAGGAGGGGGCTTACTGGGCCTGGAGCTAATGCTGAACACCCACGGATGCCCTTCCCAGTCCTCCTGGCTGGACTGCGATGGCGAAGCAGGGAAGGCCAGGACTCCCAGACTCAGCCTTTTCTAGGCCTCCGTCTCCTCCTCCTACACCAGGCCAGCGAGTATGGGCCCTGGAGGGCTCAACGCTCACAGCCTCTCACAACCATCGCCTTTACATCTGTATCCTGCACAGAGCCCTGGGAGGGAAGAGTCACCCACGGGAGTTCTCAGCACTGCCTGAAGAAGTTGGCTCTGGCCCCAGACGTGGTCACCAGTCCGTAGATTCAAGCAGGGCCACTCCCAGCCCACCATCCTCCAGGAACCTGGCAAACACGTCTGCTGCGCAGGTGTGTAGTTAGAGGCCTGAGCCCCAGATCCATACCCCAGGCCGCCTGTCTATTCCGTGCCAGCATGCGGTCCAGCCCATCTCCAGCCTCCAGGAGCCTCCAGGGCCAGGAGGCCCTGCCAGTGCCCTTCAGGCCTCAAATCCTCTGCAAATGTCCTCAGGAAGAGGCTGGGCCTTTCCGACTGAGTGTTCTGAGTTCTCCGCTAAGGAGGAGCACAGGAAGGGTTCTGGCTCCCAGCTGCAGGTCCCCGAAAGGAGGGCTGCCTGCCCTGCCCCAGCACCTCCTCCATCTCTGCTATGGTGCTGCTCCTAAGCATCTCAGCAGAACCCAAATGCCTGCCCTCCTCTGGCCACAGCCAAGTTCAGACTGTAAGACCTGAATTACAAGCCCACACTAAATGACAAAGGGCCTAGGAGACAGTGCTCTGACCCCCTCCCATTGTAGCCATAGCCCCGACTTTTGTTCTAACCCTGGTTTAGGAATGTAAGGCAATCTTGTACTGCTTGAAGTCTGGATCCGAATTAACGTGTAAGTTAGTGGTTCTAGGTATGAGATAAAATCTGTACTGTACATAGAGACCCCAAGTTAATTGTCAAACTATTAGCTCATCCTGAATGTCTTGGTGGCCTTTGAACCATCCTAAAGGTATCTGTTAATCATCCATATGTGACTGCCGAGTATGTGACTACTGCCCACCAGCTCAAATCAGCAGACCTTTGTCCCCTGCCTGCAAGCTTAGAATGTTAACCCCCTTTTTTTCCCCCTCAGCCCCTGAGCTGGCGCCTCTCTGAGCCAGCTACTTGGCCAGACTAATAAAGGTCTGTTTACCATCCAGCCTGGTGTGTTCCTTCCTGGGTGACTCTCGTTCCTCCATCGAGCTCCCGGAGCCTCGCTGGGCTATAGGTCCCAGCATCTTGGAGGCCCTTTTGGCTCTTCACGCTCCTTGGAGTGGAAGTGAGGCTTTGAGTCTTACAACAGTCACCTGCAGGGATGAAGCTCTGCTGTGGTGTGGATCTGGGCGCCCTCACAGCCTCATGGGTTCAGAGGTGGGGCCCTAGCAAGGTGCCTGGACAGCAAGGCACTGCAGCTGATTTGCTGTTAGGAGGCGGGGCCTGGTTGGAAGTGGGTCCTTGGCGATGTGACCTGGAAGGGTATTTCTATCCTGGCTCCTCCCTTCCTGCTCTGCATCCGGTCACCATGACATGAGCAGCTGTCCTGCACCAGACCCTTCCACCACTCTGTTTCTGCCTTGGAGATGGCCTACCAAAGGCTGCCTGTGAACCAGAATAAACCTCTAAGTTGTGGGTGTCGAGTCATGTGTCCCAGCAAAAAGGAAGGTGACTAAGACAAGCACCTACTGAGGGCTGTGTGCCGAGAGATTGAAGTGGATGTGTGAGTCTGGCCTTGGGTGACAGCACCAGCACCTAAGGAGCTCCCGCAGTGTAGTCTGAGTTATGATCCACTCACGCAGTGCCTGAGGTCACCTCTGGGAGCACAGAGGGCAGGAATTCTCCCACTCTCCAGGTGAGGAAATGGGTGCTTTTGCCAGGTCAGATAACCTTAGCAGAGGTGGGGTTACAGTCCAGTTGTGTAGGGTCTGTCAGCTTTTCCACAATGCAGAGTGGCCTCCTTCTTTTTTTCAGTTTCCCCCGAGCTTTGGTGTCCTAGGCAAGACCCCCCTAGAGCCACGGCAATAGGCTCTCCAGCATAATCACACCGCAGAGACCTCCTGCCTGTGTTGGTCTGAAGGCTCCAGGCAAGCAGCAGGCGCAGCAAGAGGAGAGCTCCCAGGGGCTGCTCCAAGGGAACAGCTCCGGAGACAGGACAGTGCTGTATGGACTTTGCACAAACATGGCAGAGTCACACCGTACAGTAGGTTGGGCTGAGCAGGGGCGGAGGGCAAGATGGAGGCTTAGGAGTGTGGTCTGAGCTGAGGACTACTGATCCCATGGCAAGTGCCGATCTGGGAAGGAGCCCCCTGAAAGTGTTCAGTCTGGAGTAGCCTGGGGAGATGGTAAAGGAGAGGGCTGTCCAGTTAGGGCAACTAGGCTCACATAGGAGGTGACACAAGCTTGGAGATGACCGGATGATTCAGTAATAAGTGTAACGTGTCTGACTTGTAATAATAACAACCACCCATTCTGCACAGCAAAGCTCTCTAGGGACCCACAGGGAACAGCTTCTCTTTTCTCAGGAGCCGCTCCTCACCCTCGGTGTCCTCAGGCAGCAGCCTCTGGCAGGATCCTGCAGGCCCTGGCCCTGACAGAGGCACGGTGTGGCTCCACCCCTGCCCTCATGGAGTGTTTGAGGTCTCTACATGGGATGGTGATCACTTTTGCTCTGTGAATTGTAAATAGATTCTCTTTAGCAACTGCACCCCGCTGCAGCTGCAGCTTCACTTTTTGAGGGCCCTCCCCTCTTTCTCTCCTTGTACTACTTGGGCCCCTTTCCCTAATCAAAAGCTCTTCCCTGGAAAAAGCAAAGAGCAGCCATTTATTCGCCTTTAGGTCTTATGTCTCAGCCTGGTTGTATCTTGTTGGTGAACAAAGCATCTGGAATTTAGTAGATGCTCACTGAATTAGAAAAAAAGAAAAGCAGATTTTGACTAACAGGGTGGATGGATAGATGGATTCACAGATGGATGGATGGAAGGATGACTGGATGGATGGATGTGAATGGAAAGGCTCTCCTAGGTGGAAAATAAATGGAAACATCTCCTTGGGTTGGAGACAGGCAGGGAGTAGGTCTTGTTGGCCACCTCACCTCTCTTACTTCCTGCGTATTATTCTTTGGGTTGTAAGTGGCAGGAAAGTTAACACAGCCAGGGCACTCAGCCAGGGGTAGCAGCGTCGGTGTGGGGTGCAGGTGGCCTGCGTCAGCCTAATGCAACCCAGTGACAAAGCTTTAGGCAACATTTGCAGGGTCCAAGTCCCCCTAGTTGACGTGGGTGTCACACCTCCCTGCTCCAGCTGTGACCCCAGACACCTTCCACCTCCTGGAGCCCTACTGTTACCCTCTGATGATCTCCCTCATGAAGGGCTTGTCTCCATCACGGTCCTTTGCCCTGATAGTACTGACCCATAGGTCCCCAGGTAAAACTGGCAAAGGTGTTCTGATGCCCCAGGTTCTTTGAACAGCTGCAAGCCACCCCCAAAGGCAACATATGTACACGCTGGGAGTGTACATAGGTGTCTATATACCCAGATACATATATGCACAAGCATAGTTTATACATTTTTATGCAGATATGTATCGAATTTAAAATTTCAGTTTATTTTGACTGATACATAAAAACCGTACCTATTAGTAGGATACCATTACATGTGATGTTTCAGTGCATGTATATGGTATGGTATATTTATTTATTTATTTATTTGTTTGTTTATTTATTTATTTTGGGGGGTACCGGGGATTGAACTCAGGTCCTTGCGCTTGCAAGGCAGGCCACCAAACCGCTGAGCTAAATTCCCAGCCCTGTTATGCTATATTTAAATCAGAATAAACATTTCTGTCTCCTAAACCATTTTTGTGCCATACTTAAAGTCCTTCCTTCAAGGCCCTGTATTTTGAATAACTCCTGAAAAATCACCTCCTTTTCCAACCAGCCACGGCCAGGGCTGCTTCTTGGATTCTGGTGGGCAGCTGTGGGTTTCCTGACCCATCCTTTCAGCAGCTCTGAGGATGGCCTGGATTGCTTTAACACCTCCACTGTCCTACTGCAGCACAGGAAGCCCCCACCCCTCCCTGTGGCGGCACTATTTCCTGAGGAGAGGCTGTGACATCAAGCCGGGAGAACGGAGACCTGCAGGGAAGGTCTCCCTCAGAAGACCAGTTGGCATCAAAAGCTGTTTTCACCTTTGCCTTCATCTTCTCTGAGAGCCGACAGTCTGCTCTGCCTGGGAAGCAGCTGCGAGGAAACCTCTCTCCCAGAGGACACAGCAGAGATCGGGGCGTTGAGAGACACACACATAACCTTGGCAGGCCCAGCTTTGCCTCATCCTCCACCTGCAGCCGCCCTGCACGCCCCACACCCTGTGTGGACCGCCCTGAGTGCCCCTGGGCCACAGTGGAGCAGCCCCCAGCTCCGGCAGTGGCAGACTTGATGGGGAGGTGGTTTCTAACAGCCTCCTGTGTATCGATTTCTGGGTGGGAGAGAAACTGTCCCCTCTTCTCTGGGAGAGAGGCTGCAGACTGATGCTGCTTCGTCCACACCTATTTCCTGCAGCATGA